ACCCCCACTACCTCCGCTACCTCCGCCTCCACCTCCACCGGAACCACCTTTCTTGCCCCCCCTGCCGCGGGACCGCGACGCAGTCGTAACAGCAGCCGCAGTCGCGTCAGTAGCGGCAGTGGCAAGAGAGGCAGTGAAGGTGGGTAACTGCGGGACTGTGCACCCGTGGAAGAGTGGGGGGGACACAGTACCAGAGGCGGCAGCTACCGAACGAAGGTTGCTCTCGACGTCCTTGAGTGCAGACTCAAGGACCTCGATAGTCAGCTCACTAGGGTGCTTCAGCAGAAGCGCGTCACGAACGGAGGCAAGGCGGTCAGGGAGGCTAGTGGCGATGAAATAGACAGTAATCGCCATGGGGGGAGGAAGCAGTGCAAGCTGTGCCTCAGTGCAAGCAGCGCGGTAACTAGCGTCGAGCGAGCGGAGGTGAGCGATCAAGTCAGCAGAGCGCTCAAACGAGGCAAGATCAGGAAACAGGAACGGGAGGAAAAGACGGCCGAGAGAGACAGTAGCGGGAGTAGAGTAGCGGGCCTTAATCGCAGTGAGGTACGCAGCAGCGGTGCGAACCTGAGTAAAGTGGACCTCCTCGGACTCAGGGAGGAGGCTGCTGAGTGCGATGCAGGCCGCAGCGTCACGCGACGTCCAAGCCGTCCGGTCAGCGCGCTGACGGGCAAAGCGAGCCGTAGCAGCGTCGTCAGGAGCAGGGCCTAAAGCGGTAGGCTCGGGGGGCTCGGGGAGGTCACCAGTAGCGTGTGACCAGAGGGTCTCGCCCCCCTGGACCTGACTCTCTAACAGACGACGAGCGCGAAGAAGCCAGACGGAAAAGTCAAGGGGTCTACCGTCAGCGTCGAAACGAAGAACTCGCGGAGTCGCCATAGTGAGAACCAACGCGAACGAACAGGCGAGTAACAACCGGGGGGGAAGAGGACTCAGTCGCAGCGGAAGAGCGGGCTAGGGCGACGGGCCAAAACGTAGGGTAGGGCAACGGGCCAGGGCCTAGGGTAGGGCGACGGGCCAGAGCCTAGGGAGGGCGACGGGCCAGGGCCTAGGGAGGGCGACGGGCTAGGGCCTAGGGAGGGCGACGCGACGGGAGAAAGGGCGGGAGCGACGCGACGGGGCAGGGCGACGCGACGGGACAGGGCGACGCGACGGGGCAGGGCGGCGCGACGGAGCAGGGCGACGGGACAGGGCAGGGCGACGCGACGGGGTAGGGCGACGCGACGGGACAGGGCGACGGGACGGGACGGGACGGGACAGGGCGACGCGACGGGACGGGACAGGGCGACGCGACGGGACAGGGCGACGCGACGGGACGGGACAGGGCGACGCGACGGGACAGGGCGACGGTACGGGACAGGGCGACGCGACGGGACAGGGCGACGGGACAGGGCAGGGCGACGCAACGGGACAGGGGGGGAACAGGCGGGCGCGACGCGACGGGGGGAACAGGCGCGACGCGACGGGGGGAACGGGCGCGACGCGACGGGGGGAACGGGCGCGACGCGACGGGGGGAACGGGCGCGACGCGACGGGGGAGATGATGCTAGGCTCGGTACTAGGCGCGGGTAACAACTAAACTGGTACGAACGAGAGGTAGGATCAGGCTCGGGAGGTACGAACGGAGAACGGAGGAACGGGATCCCACAGGATCCTAACCTAGCTGATACCATGTCAAAATGAGGAATGGGTGGTGCATTGATGTTGGTTGGGGTACATATGACAAACCCTAACTTCTGTACCCCCTAAGACAAACCTCACTACAGGCTACAACATTTGACATGTAATGCCCTGCCAGCGCAGCATCTTCGTGCCGCGATACCCTCCTCTTCGGGTTCAGACAGGGGGTACCCGTCTCTCCCCGACGAGGACCCCGAGGCGCTAACCAGAAGGGGTCCCTTTGAATCTCTCATTTATTCCCCGTTTCTCTCAGTTTCTCGTTCAGTTTCTTGGTTTTTGTTCTTGCAAATTTGCACACTCTAGGCCCTTGTTCTTGCTATTTTGCACACGCTAAGCCCTTGTTCTTGCAATTTTGCACATGCTAGGCCCTTGCTTTTGCAATTTGCACACGCTAGGCCCTTGTTCTTGAAATTTCGCACACGCTAGGCCCTTGTCATTGCAATTTTGCACACGCTAGGCCCTTGTCATTGCAATTTTGCACACGCTAGGCCCTTGTTCTTGCTATTTTGCACACGCTAGGCCCTTGTTCTTGCAATTTTGCACACGCTAGGCCATTGTTCTTGTATTTTTTCACACGCTAGGCCCTTGTTCTTGCGATTTGGCACATGCTAGGCCTTTGTTCTTGCAATATTGCACACGCTAGGCCCTTGTTCTTGCAATATTGCACACGCTAGGCCCTTGTTCTTGCAATTTTGCACGAGCTAGGCCCTTGTTCTTGCAATTTTGCACACGCTAGGTCTTTGTTCTTGCAATTTTGCACGCGCTAGGCCCTTGTTCTTGCTATTTCGCACGCGCTAGGCCCTTGTGTCAGATTTATATGACATAGCTACTGTAGGCTCTAGTGGGGCAGCCCATATGGGGTACAGATTTCTAGGGTTTGTACTTGTACCCAACTTTCACCTAGTCATTTCATTCTCGTTCATTTCTCATGGTATCGAGCAGGTTCCCCTGTGGGAACTGTTCCTAGAGCCCACCACTTTTTTTTCCTGCCCGGAGCGCGCTCTACTCTGCCCGAGTCGCGCTCCCCCCTTTCGACCTTGTCGCGCCGCCTTAGCGGCCCCGTCGCGTCGCGCTTGCGGCCCCATCGCGTCGCCCTCGCGGCCCCGTCACGTCGCGCCGCCATATCGGCCGCGTCGCGCCGCCCTCGCGGCCCCGATCCGCCGCCCCTCGCGGCTCCGTCGCGTCGCGCCGCCCTCGCGGCCCCTTCGCGCCGCCCTCGCGGCCCTTTCGTGCCGCCCTCGCGGCCTCTTCAAGCCGCCCTCGCGACCCCCTCCTAGCCGCCCTAGCGGCCCCGTCGCCTACCCCTGCGGCCCCGGCGCCGCCCTTCCCGGCCCCGGTGCCGCCTCTGCTGGCCCCGTCGCCTACCCCTGCGGCCCCGGCGCCGCCCTTCCCGGCCCCGGCGCCGCCTCTGCTGGCCCCGTCGCCTACCCTGCGGCCCCGGCGCTGCCCTTCCCGGCCCCGACGCCGCCTCTGCTGGCCCCGTTGCAGCTCCACCCGGCCCCGCCGCCGCTCCACCCGGCCCCGCCGCTCCACGTGGCCACGTTGCCGCTCCACCCGGCCCCACCGCCGTCCCCACGCCGCCCCGCCGTCACCACCGAGCCCCCGGCGCCGCCGAGCTGCTGCCGAGTCGCCCGAGCCACCCGAGCCGCCGTGCTACCTGAGCCGCCCGAGCCGCCGGGTTGCGAGCTGCCGAGCCGCCGTACCGCCGAGCCGCCCGAGCCGCCAGTGCCGCCGAGTCGCCGAGCCGCTGTACCGCCGAGCCGCCCGAGCCGCTAGTGCCGCCGAGTCGCCGAGCCGCCGTGCCGCCCGCACCGCCGAGCCGCCCGAGCCGCCTTGTCCGGTAAGAGCAGCGCCTCTGTCACTGCACTGCCTTTACCCTACTGTTCGCGCTGATAGTCTACTGCTGTCATGGCTACCCCTAGTGTCCTCGCTTTTGACGCTGAGGGTCGGGCCATTGACTTTGACGTCTGGATAGATGACCTGCAGCTTTTCCTACAGTGCGATAGGGCAGACGGTCTCTCCCTCTTTGACCTCACTTCTGGTGCCTCTCATGCCCCTGCTGCTGATGCTGACGCCACTGTTCGCTCACAGTGGGCCACACATGATGCTGCTGCACGCCTTGCTGTGCGTCGCCACCTGCCTACCTCTGAGCGTGCGCACTTTAGCCTTGTACGACGCTGTAGTTGCACGCTACTCCTCCCCTGCCACTGCTGCAGTGAGCCGCCTCATGCTACCGTATCTCTTCCCTGACCTTGCTGCCTTTCCCACAGTCACTGACCTCATTACGCACCTCCGCACTAATGACATTCGCTACCGCGATGCGCTTCTTGCTGAGTTCTGCGCCAAGAACCCCCCCCCCCATGTACATCACCCTCTACTACATAGTCGCCCGGCTCCCTGACTCTCTTCGCGTAGTCAGGGACCACTTCCTCTCAGTGTGCCCCACCACTCTCACCGTTGACCTCCTCGAGAAGGCCCTCCTAGCAGCAGAAAAGAGCATAGTCGCTGTAGTTAGGTTCTTAGAGATCGAGTTTAGGGTTCTCTCCCACAACACAGGCATGTGCTGCTGCGCTCTGGGCGCGCGGCGTCTTCCTGCCCCGCGGGTGGCCTGCCCTCACGCCGCCTGCGCGCCTGCCTCACGTCCACGGGCGGGCCAGTTTTGCCCGCCCGTACCCTCCACTTCGCGGCGCCCTGCGAGGTGCCGCTCCTGCTCGTCACGACGCACCTGCAGGACCCGGGCGCCGCCGCTCCTGCTCGTCGCGACACCCTTGCAGGACCCGCACGGCGCCGCCTTGCTCGTCGCGACGGCACTGCGGGATCCACGGGGCGTCGCCACTGCTCGTCGTGGCGCCCCCTGGACGCCGCTCCTGCTCGTCACGGCGCCCCTGGGGCGTCGCCCCTACTCGTAGCGGCACCCCTTGGGCGCCGTTCCTACTCGTCGCGGCGCCCTCACCCCTGGCCACCGCCTCTGCCTCACCTGCGCTTGCGCCAGCGTTGCAGCCGCGCGCGGGCCTACCTTGCACCAGCGCCGCCCCTGGAGCAGCCGCCCCTGGACCTCAGCAGCCGCCCCTGGACCCCGCAAGCCGCCCCAGCAGCAGCCCTCAGCGCCGCCCCTGGAGCAGCCGCCCCTCGTGCAGCCGCCCCTGGACCTCAGCAGCCGCCCCTAGACCCCGCGAGCCGCCCCAGCAGCAGCCCACGGCGCCGACCCTACAGCTGTATGCGCCGCCGCTCCTGGACTCGGTACGGCTGCCTGCCTGTACTGCCCGTTGCTGCCTGTTGCTGCCCGTGCCTGTGCTGCCCGTTGTTGCCTGTTGCTGCCCGTGCCTATGCTGCCCGTTGGTGCCTGTTGCTTCCCGTGCCTGTGCTGCCCGTTGCTGCCTGTTGCTGCCCGTACCTGTGCTGCCTGTTGCCGCCTGTTGCTGCCCGTGCCTGTGCTGCCTGTCGCTGCCCGTGCCTGTGCTGCCTGTTGCCGCCCGTTGCTGCATGTGCCTGTGCTGCCCGCTGCTGCCTGCTGCTGCCCGAGCCTGTGCTGCCCGTTGCCGCCCGTTGCTGCCCGTGCCTGTGCTGCCCGTTGCCGCCCGTTGCTGCCCGTGCCTGTGCTGCCCGTTGCCGCCCGTTGCTGCCCGTGCCTGTGCTGCCTGTTGCCGCCCGTTGCTGCCCGTGCCTGTGCTGCCTGTTGCTGCCCGTGCCTGTGCTGCCTGTTGCCGCCCGTTGCTGCCTGTGCCTGTGCTGCCCGTTGCTGCCTGTTGCTGCCCGTGCCTGTGCTGCCCGTTGCTGCCTGTGTCTGTGCTGCCCGTTGCCGCCCGTTGCTGCCCGTGCCTGTGCTGCCTGTTGCCGCCCGTTGCTGCCCGTGCCTGTGCTGCCTGTTGCTGCCCGTGCATGTGCTGCCTGTTGCCGCCCGTGCCTGTGCTACCTGTTGCCGCCCGTTGCTGCCCGTGCCTGTGCTGCCCGTTGCCGCCCGTTGCTGCCCGTGCCTGTGCTGCCTGTTGCTGCCAGTTGCTGCCCGTGCCTGTGCTGCCCGTTGCTGCCCGTTGCTGCCCGTGCTTGTGCTGCCCGTTGCCGCCCGTTGCTGCCCGTGCCTGTGCTACCCGTCGTGTGCCCTGCTGCTACCCGCGCCCTTGTGCGCTCTGGTCTGCCTGCGCCCTTGTGCGCTCTGCTACTGCTCCGCGCTGTTGCCCTGCACGCGCGGCTACCCTGCCCGTGCCTATGCTGCCCCTGCTCTTCCCCCTCCCCCTTCTTTGTCTCCTTGCTGCGCGTGTAGCCGTGGAACGGAGGCTATGGGGGTGGCGGGTATGGGGGTGATGGGTGTGTGTGATCCCCTTCCCCTCCTCCTCCTTTCTCTCCCACTGCTGCAGCTGCCGCTGGGGGGGGGTGGGTGTGAGGGTGTGGGGGAGCTGGGGGAGAGGTGCTAGGGTTGTCGAGGAGTGTGGAAAGGGGAGTTGGAGGACTGAGGAAGGTTCCAGGAAGCAGCTGCCTTGGAGCCAGAAGCTTCACCTGCCAGCAGCTTCTCCTCATATAGTTCCTCCTCCTCACTTGCCCTCTCCTTCTGTTGCGCTTGGTGTACCCCTTGAGGGGGTGTCTCTGCATTAGCTTCTGCTGCAGGCAGTTATGGGGGAGTGTCAGAATATATCTGTAACTGCCTGTAGCTGTAGTTAGTGTAGTTATGATAAACTTTGTTTGGTGGTGCACCTTCTTTGTTCCTTTGCTATATGTTGTTGCCAACCTATAGTGAAGCCCTCTTTCTCCTTTCCAACTTTCTCGACACTCTCCTCAACCCTAAACTCGATCTGTAAGAAACTAACTAAACTATGGCTCCTAAGCCCACCTATGCTTAGTATCTCAACATAAAAATCTCCTCCTGAAGGATGTCGTTAAGGAATGCCGTTACGATGTCCATTTGTTTTACTACCCATCCTTTGATGGCGGCTCCCGCGAATAGGGTTCGCAGCGTCGTCGCCTTCACCACAGGGGCAATTCTCCTTCTGCTGGTACCCCTTGGCTACAAGCCTTGACTTGTAGCGCTCGATCTTGCCGTCGGCATCCGACTTGATTTTGAAGAGCCACTTGGCCGTTATCGCCGTACGCCCCTCCGGCAGCTCCACCAATTCAAACGTTTCGTTCTCCTTGATGCTCTTCAGCTCACTCTCCATGGCCTTCTTCCACTCCTCAGCATCACTACTCTCCAAAGCCTCCTTGAGAGTTGCTGGTTCTCCCGGCATCTCCACCGGAGAGAAGAACGCGAAGGCACACTCCTCGTAGTCACTCTCCTCGTCGTCTCCGACCATCATTGCTGCTCCGGCCAGGGCTGTCTTGCCCTGCTTTCCTGGCGCATCATAGGTCAGCCTATTAGGGGGTTGAACTCTCCTCTTCCCCCTTCCTTCCTCCTCAGCTGCAGGGACTTGAAGACCTTGGCGTTGCTGCGGTGTGGCTCGAATCCGTGGAGCACTTGTAGTGCGGGAAGGGAGTGACGGTGCACGCTCGCTCACTTGCTGCACCTCCTCCTCTTCTTCCTCTGCATCATTGGCCTCCTCTCCCCCATTCACAAGGGAGGATTGCCTCGTGGTTGTGCTGCCGCTGCTCAGCTCCAAAGGCAGCTCCACATGCTCCAAACCGGAACTCTTCACCTCCCCAAACCGCACGCCTATCTTCGCCGCGCTAGGCCGTCTCTCACTCCCCTACCTGTTCCCCGACCTCGCCTCCTTCCACACAGTCGCTGACCTCATCACGCACCTCCGTACTAGTGAGGCCCGCTTCCGTGCCGCTATGCCTGATGAGTTTCTTGCCACGAACCCACCCCCCGCTCTGGCTCACTCTCTACCACCTAGTCACCCGCCTCCCTGACTCTCTGCGTGCAGTCAGGGACCACTTCCTAGCTCGCTGCCCCACTGAGCTCACCATTGCCCTCCTCGAGAAGGAACTACTTGCAGCTGAGGCTAGCATAGTCGCTGTAGGTGCCTCTCGTGGCGACCCCCGCACCCCTTTCATCGAGGGGTGTTCCCCTTCCGCCCTTCTTCCCTCTGTAGCCTCTGCTTGTGCTGTCGACCTCCTTGGTGCTGAGAAGGTCAGGACTGCGTCTGCTCCGAGCTGGCGCCGCAGCGGCAAGGGCAAAGGGGGCAAGGGAGGCGGAGGTGACGGCGGGGGAGGCGGTGGCGGGGGTGGTGGTGGGGCTGGAGGGGCTAGTGGCAGCGGTGGGGGTGGTGGCGGCAGCGGCGGGGGAGGTGGCAGGGGCGGGGGTGGTTGTGGGGGCGGCGGTGGACGCGGCAGCGGCAGGGGAGGGGGTGGTTGAGGGGTCCGGACGCATGCTTGCGCCTGGACGCATGCTTGCGCCCGGTCGCATGCTTGTGTCCGGACGCATGCTTGCGCCCGGTCGCATGCTTGTGTCCGGACACATGCTTGCGCCCGGTCGCATGCTTGTGTCCGGACGCATGCTTGGGCCCGGTCGCATGCTTGTGTCCGGACGCACGCTTTTGTCCGGACGCATCGGTCGCATGCTTGTGTCCGGTCGCATGCTTGTGTCCAGACGCATGCTTGTGTTCGGATGCATGCTTGCGCCCAGTCGCATGCTTGTGTCCGGACCCATGCTTGCGCCCAGTCGCATGCTTGTGTTCGGAGGCATCGGTCGCATGCTTGGGTCCGGACGCATGCTTGTGTCCGGACGCATGCTTGCTCCCGGTCGCATGCTTGTGTCCGCACACATGTTTGTGTCCGCACGCATGCTTGCGCCCGTCGCATGCTTGTGCCCGGACGCATGCTTGTGCTCGGTCGCATGCTTTTGTCCGGACGCATGCTTGTGTCCGAACGCATGCTTGTGTCCGGACTCATGTGTCAGAATCCCAACCACTAGACCATTGGGATAAAAGGGCTTGTTTCAGTAGCGGGTCAGTGCGCCCATAACCCCCCAGGCGAACGCGCCTGTAACCCTCTCCAGGATCAATCGGGCATCCACAGTGCATATCTATTGACACCCCCCAACACTGGGAGGCCCAGGACTAAGCACAGCGGCACCGGCCTACATGTGCATACACCGGGAATCGAACCCGTGACCGCTCTGATACCATGTCAGAATCCCAACCACTAGACCATTGGGATAAAAGGGCTTGTTTCAGTAGCGGGTCAGTGCGCCCATTACCCCCTAGACGAACGCGCGTGTAACCCTCTCCAGGATCAATCAAGCATCCACAGTGCAGATATACTGACATCATGCTTGCGCCCGGACGCATGCTTGTGTCCAGACGCATGCTTTTTTTTGGGCGCATGCTTGTGTCCGGATGCATGCTTGTGTCCAGACGCATGCTTGCGCCCGGTCGCATGCTTGTGTCTGGACGCATGCGTGTGTCCGGACACATGCTTGTGTCCGGAGGCATCGCTCGCATGCTTGGGTCCGGACACATACTTGTGTCCGGACGCATGCTTGTGTCCGGACGCATGCTTGTGTCCGGACGCATGCTTGCGCCCGGTCGCATGCTTGTGTCTGGACGCATGCGTGTGTCCGAACGAATGCTTGTGTCTGGACGCATGCTTGTGGGCGGTCGGATGCTTTTGTCCGGACGCATGCTTGCGCGTGGTCGCATGCTTGTGTCCGGACGCATGCTTGTGTCCTGACGCATGCTTGTGTCCGGACGCATGCTTGTATCCTGACGCATGCTTACGCCCGGACGCATGCTCGCGCCCGGACGCATGCTTCTGTCCGGATGCATGCTTGTGTCTGGATGCATGCTTGTGTCCGGACGCATGCTTGCGCCCGGTCGCATGCTTGTTTCCGGACGCATGCTCGTGTCCGGTCGCATGCTTGCACCCAGTCACATGATTGTGTCCGGACGCATGCTTGCGCCCGGTCGCATGCTTGTGTCCGGACACATGCCTGCCCCCGGACACATGCCTAGCGCGTGCAATATTGCAAGAACAAGGGCCTAGCGTGTGCCAAATTGCAAGAACAAGGGCCTAGCGTGTGCAGAATTGGAAGAACAAGAGCCTATTGTGTGCAAAATTGGAAGAACAAGGGCCTAGCGTGTGCAAAATTGGAAGAACAACGGCCTAGCGTGTGCAAAATAGCAAGAACAAGGGCCTAGCGTGTGCAAAATTGGAAGAACAAGGGCCTAGCGTGTGCAAAATAGCAAGAACAAAGGCCTAGCGTGTGCAAAAATTTCAAGAACAAGGGCCTAGCTTGTGCAAAATTGGAAGAACAAGGGCCTAGCGTGTTCAAAATTGCAAGAACAAATGCCTAGCGTGTGCAAAATAGCAAGAACTAGGGCCTTGAGAGTGCAAAATTTCAAGAACCAGGGCCTTGCGTGTGCAAAATTGCGAGAACAAGGACCTAGCGTGTGCAAAATTGGAAGAACAAGGGCCTACCGTGTGCAAAATTGGAAGAACAAGGGCCTAGCGTGTGCAAAATTGGAAGAACAAGGGCCTACTGTGTGGAAAGTTGGAAGAACAAGGGCCTAGCGTGTGCAAATTTGGAAGAACAAGGGCCTAGCGTGTGGAAAATAGCAAGAACAAGGGCCTAGCGTGTGCAAAATTGGAAGAACAAGGGCCTAGCGTGTGCAAAATAGCAAGAACAAGGGCCTAGGGTGTGCAAAATTGGAAGAACAAGGGCCTAGCGTGTGCAAATTGGAAAGAGAACAAGGGCCTAGCGTGTGCAAAATAACAAGAACAAGGGCCTAGCGTGTGCAAAATTGGAATAACAAGGACATAGCGTGTGCAAAATAGCAAGAACAAGGGCCTAGCGTGTGCAAAATTTGAAGAGCAAGGACCTAGCGTGTGCAAAATTGGAAGAAAAAGGGCCTAGCATGTTCAAAACTGGAATAACAAGGACGTAGCGTGTGCAAATAAGCAAGAACAAGGGCCTAGCGTGTGCAAAATTGGAATAACAAGGACATAGCGTGTGCAAAATAGCAAGAACAAGGGCCTAGCGTGTACAAAATTTCAAGAACAAGGGCCTAGCGTGTGCAAAATTGGAAGTACGAGAGCCTAGCGTGTGCAAAATTGGTAGAACAAGGGCCTAGCGTGTGCAAAATAGCAAGAACAAGGGCCTAGTATGTGCAAAATTGGAAGAACAAGGGCCTAGCGTGTGCAGAATTCGAAGAACAAGGGCCTAGCGTGTGCAAAATAGCAAGAACAAGGGCCTAGCGTGTGCAAAATTGCAAGAACAAGGGCCTACATGTGCAAAATAGCAAGAACAATGACCTAGCATGTGCAAAATTTCAAGAACAAGGGCCTAGAGTGTGCACAATTGCAAGAAGAAGGGTCTAGCGTGTGCAAAATTGCAAGAACAAGGGCCTAGCCTGTGCAAATTTTCAAGAACAAGGGCCTAGCGTGTGCAAAATTTCAAAAACAAGGGCCTAGCGTGTGCAAAATTGGAAGAACAAGTGCCTAGCGTGTGCAAAATTGGAAGAACAAGGGCCTAGCGTGTGCAAAATTGGAAGAACAAGGGACTAGCATGTGCAAAATTGGAAGAACAAGGGCCTAGCGTGTGCAAAATTGCAAGAACAAGGGCATAGTGTGTGCAAAATTGGAAGAACAAGGGCCTAGCGTGTGCAAAATTGGAAGAACAAGGGCCTAGCGTGTGCAAAATTGGAAGAACAAGGGCCTAGCGTGTGCAAAATTGGAAGAACAAGGGCCTAGCGTGTGCGAAATTGGAAGAACAAGGGACTAGCGTGTGCAAAATTGGAAGAACAAGGGCCTAGCGTGTGCAAAATTGCAAGAACAAGGGCATAGTGTGTGCAAAATTGGAAGAACAAGGGCCTAGCGTGTGCCAAATTGCAAGAACAAAGGCCTAGTGTGTGCAAAATTGGAAGAACAAGTGCCTAGCGTGTGCAAAATTGGAAGAACAAGGGCCTAGCGTGTGCAAAATTGGAAGAACAAGGGCCTAGCGTGTGCCAAATTGCAAGAACAAAGGCCTAGTGTGTGCAAAATTGGAAGAACAAGTGCCTAGCATGTGCAAAATTGGAAGAACAAGGGCCTAGCGTGTGCAAAATTGGAAGAACAAGGGCCTAGCGTGTGCAAAACTGGAAGAACAAGGGCCTAGCGTGTGCAAAATTGGAAGAACAAGGGCCTAGCGTGTGCTAAATTGGAAGAACAAGGGCCTAGCGTGTGCAAAATTGGAAGAACAAGGGCCTAGCGTGCGCAAAATTGCAAGAACAAGGGCCTAGTGTGTGCAAAATTGGAAGAACAAAGGCCTAGCGTGTGCCAAATTGCAAGAACAAAGGCCTAGTGTGTGCAAAATTGGAAGAACAAGTGCCTAGCGTGTGCAAAATTGGAAGAACAAGGGCCTAGCGTGTGCAAAACTGGAAGAACAAGGGCCTAGCGTGTGCAAAATTGGAAGAACAAGGGCCTAGCGTGTGCAAAATTGGAAGAACAAGGGCCTAGCGTGTGCAAAATTGGAAGAACAAGGGCCTAGCGTGTGCAGAATTGGAAGAACAAGGGCCTAGCGTGTGCAAAATTGCAAGAACAAGGGCCTAGTGTGTGCAAAATTGGAAAAACTAAGGCCTAGCGTGTGCCAAATTGCAAGAACAAAGGCCTAGTGTGTGCAAAATTGGAAGAACAAGTGCCTAGCGTGTGCAAAATTGGAAGAACAAGTTCCTAGCGTGTGCAAAATTGGAAGAACAAGGGCCTAGCGTGTGCAAAATTGCAAGAACAAGGGCCTAGCGTGTGCAAAATTGCAAGAACAAGGACCTAGTGTGTGCAAAATTGGAAGAACAAGGGCCTAGCGTGTGCCAAATTGCAAGAACAAAGGCCTAGTGTGTGAAAAATATGAAGAACAAGTGCCTAGTGTGTGCAAAATTGGAAGAACAAGGGCCTAGCGTGTGCAAAATTGGAAGAACAAGGGCCTAGCGTGTGCAAAATTGGAAGAACAAGGGCCTAGCGTGTGCAAAATTTCAAGAACAAGGGCCTAGTGTGTGCAAAATTGGAAGAACAAGGGTCTAGCGTGTGCAGAATAGCAAGAACAAGGTCCTAGCGTGTGCAAAATTGGAAGAACAAGGGCCTAGCGTGTGCCAAATAGCAAGAACAAGGGCCTAGTGTTTGCAAAATTGGAAGAACAAGGGCCTAGCGCATGCAAAATTGCAAGAACAAGGGCCTAGCGTGTGCCAAATTGCAAGAACAAGGGCCTAGTGTGTGCAAAATTGGAAGAACAAGGGCCTAGCGTGTGCCAAATTGCAAGAACAAAGGCCTAGTGTGTGCAAAATTGGAAGAACAAGTGCCTAGCGTGTGCAAAATTGGAAGAACAAGGGCCTAGCGTGTGCAAAATTGGAAGAACAACTGCCTAGTGTGTGCAAAATTGGAAGAACA